GTTTTTAAAATAATTTTAAATATCAGTATTCAATGTTTTATGTTTAAAATAAAATATTATTTATGCATTTGTAACTGCAGGTTAAATGCATTCATGTCCCTCTGTGTGGGAAATTCATCCCATGCAGCTTCTGTGTTTCCTCTGCATTGCAAAGATGAATTTTGATACTGATATCATTTGTTTGGTAACAGCCCAAATGTCTTTTATTCTAATTGACTGATTAAATGTAAGAATTTGACTCAAAAGATGATGCACACAGAAAAAAAATATGGCTTTATAAAGGTAAAAATGGCCATAAAATTTAAAAATCAATTTAAACTTATTGGAACAGATAAATTTCTATCACTGTTGTGAACTGACCCGCACACAGAATATGAAGGATGAAGCACACACACACACCAGTACGTATAGGGACATTTAAGAGGGTTTATTCTCCAAATAACTCTAATTTCATGATGGAGAAAAATGTGTTTAAAAATTGTGTATGCTCTCTTGTTCTTGGTCCAAGTTACCTTCCGGTCCACTTATTTTTGCCTCTCACAAAAGCCACAAAGCCTTCCAAGAAGACAGTAAAGGCTTATGTCATGCTTGAGCTTTAGTTAGGCTGAAACTTGAAAGTTAAGTTGCACGACATAAATGCAATGTTTAGGTATTATTATTATTTTTATTACTATTATTTTGATTTATGCCTTAGTTTTAGTTTGTACTGTTTACCTTTTTTAAAGTAATGTGAAATAGATTTTTGTATTTTTATTTATTTATTTTTTTTATTTTTTTATTGATATATTTGTATTTGCATTTTGAATGCAATTTGGCAATTAAATACATTAAATGGGTTTAGTTTTCACGGTTATTAATGTATGCAATTTCAGCAATAAAAATGTAAATTGTTCTAAAAAGAAAACAAATTAGTTGTTTATTTTAAGAGATCTATCTTAAATATCTCTATATTTAGTATTGCTCTTTAATAAAGAAAAATGACTTATCCGATTACTCGATTAATCGATGGAATAATCTGTAGAATACTCGATTACTAAAATAATCGATAGCTACAGCCCTACATATTTTAGACCTCAGAAGAAAGTAGAATGACTACATTTTAAAAGGGCACACGACCTTTGCCCTGTCATTCATTTCAGTCTTTCATTGGCTGGTGATGGTGTACGTTTTTCTTACTGTGGCAACGATTCTCTTGACAGCAGCGGCTGAGAGCTCTTCTCCTTTGGGTTCCTCCACCAGCGTCATGCCCAGATACTTCAGCTGAAAGACCATCCCCTCCAGCAGCGTCTCCCGCGTGTCTGTCCAGTTCTCTGGCAGCTCTGGAAAGACACACACGGGATTAACATGTAGGCATGATGCAAACATGGCCAAAAACATGGCAATACATGCTACCCACACAAACACGCTCCTTCAAATGGGTGAATCTCATGAAAACATGCCACATTTCACTCCTAAATAAAACGAATGAAAAATCATAAGAAATTATATTTTGGCAGGTTTATTCATTCAGATAATGACCGTGTGTGTGTGTGTGTGTGTGTTTCTGTGCTGATTTGTAGTGTACCAGGTGGTCAAATATATCAACAACATGTTTGAGAGTTGAGTAATTAATGATAAGAAGTTATATTTTACATACAGAAAACCAAGTTCGTTTTAGACCTTTAGGATCTTTGCATTACTTCCTGAAAATGAAACACTCAAAATTAAACAATTACCATATTGCATAATAAATTTTGGTATATTAATAATAATATAAAAACACACCAAATTAAACAATTATCATATTGCATAATGTATTTGATATATATAATATACAAATATACCCCAGCGACCTAAGACTGGTTTTGTGCTCCAGGGTCACATATATATTTTAAAACAATTAGAATAATATATAACATTACACTAAAAATTACTGTAATTTACTGTAACATTGAATAAATATACTACAACACTTTTTGATTTATTTATATCTATTTGAGTAAACTATAGTGAAAATTAAATACATTCATAAAACATTGTGTATAGGGTGAAAGGGGGGTTTGACCAATATTTATTACAATATTTACATTTTAAAAACATTTAAAACAACAATGTTCACATTTATAAATGTAAACAACCTTGTTTACAGGTAAATTAAGATATTTTTACATAGTTTGCTGTTTTGCATAAACTACTCAACTCTCAAACATGTTCTTGACATATTTGTGTGAACGCAAAAGAGCACAGAAACACTGAACATGCTCATTATCTGAACAAATAAGCATGTTAAATACTAAAGCAACTCAGTGAATAACAGGTGAAAACATCTGCATATGAAACACATCACACAGTCCTTCATTAAAACACAGTCTTCAATCAGGTCTTTCATCCACTGCTCTTTGATCCACACCTGCACAGGACAGGAACTCATGTCCACATTTACATGCAGCCTTATAATACTATTATGGCAGTACTGTGATTAAGTTGGAACTCATGTCAACACAAAACTCTGTTTATGTACATAATAACAGTAGCCATATCTTCACTCGGACTACAGTGTGCATGTGCTACACACACAAAAATTGGCTCTTCTTCAGCGGTTCTTTAGGGTGGCTGAAGGGAACCACTTTTACTGCTATTTAGCACCATTTTTGTTTAGAGTGTAGTGTTGCATGCATGAGTTTCAAAACATGGCAGAACTTTTGGAGTTTATGCTTATAGCTTTATGATCATGCGTTTTATTGATCGGATTGATCATAAACACCTGAAAGGAGATGTTGTAGACATTTCTGACAAAGTGAAAACCGGTTGCAGGACAAAAAAGCAGCAGAAATGAACAGACCTTCTGCATTTAAAAAGAACATTTTGTGTTTAGCAAACGTGTCAAAAAGCAGTAAAAAAAAATAAATCACATTTCTTTGTGAATAATCAAACCAATGGCAAATAGCATGTAAATGGGACTGAAGAGAACACGCTGTAACATTTCGCTCAATGCTGTGTCATTCCCAATAATCAGACTATTGGTGTATAATATGTCACTGAACACACACACATAAACCCCCATACTGCCCTGATCTCAGACAAAGAAATGAATGAATGTGTGTTTAACCCCACATCAGCGCTGGCCTGTATCAAAGGTCAAGGTCAGGGGTCAAGGACGCACATGAAATAGACATTTATCTGCTCCCCTCCACCGCATCTCCATTATATTACAACCTTGCTTAATCCATCTCAGCATGACAGAGAGCCAGCCAGAAAGAAAAGAAAGCAGGAAAGCATGAAAGCAAGAAATAAGGAATCTGAAAAAATAAAATAATAAAAGAACAATGAAAGAACTAAAAAAAGAAACAAATGACAAATAAATAAACAAAAGATGGAAAGAATTAAACCAACAAAAGGATGAACAAAAGAAAGAAACAATCAGGAAAAACGAACTAAAGAAAGAAACAAAGAATAAGCAAACAAATTAATGAAAGAGAAAATTAAATGTGACATGTTAATTCAATCTACAAGAAAACTTCATTTGTTGTGAAAGCAAGAAACAAAGAAAAAAATCATTAAGGAACAATGAAAGAACTAAAAACAATGAACAAACAAACTCAAATTTAAGAAAAACAAACATATTGAACAAAAGTCATGAAACAGAGTAAAAAAAACAAATACTCAAGCCAACAAAAACAAACAAAAGGAAGAACAAAAAGAAAGAAAGAAAGAAAGAAAGAAAACAAAAGAACTAAAAAATAAACAAACAAATCTAAAATTCGGAACAAAGGAGTAAAAAGGAAAAACAATGAACAAAAAGCCAAGAAACAGAACAAAATAAAACAAATGAAACAACTAAAGAAACAAAGAATAAACAAACAAATGAAAGAGAAAGCGATATGTGACTGTGTTAATTCAATTCTGTGTGAAAATGCTTCATTTTTGTGGTATTCTGTTTTTGTGACATTCTGGTTTGAACTATGAATATGTTAGTCAAGAGTTTGAGTGTGCATGAAATGAAAATGGATATTGATTATTGCAGATTTCATGAATCATTCATGGGTCTTTGGCTGACAGGTGGTCTCTGAAATCCCCGTCAGAGATCAAATGACAACGTCACCCCATCGTTCTGCCTATGGAAGCTAATTTTACTCCCCAAGACCTTCACAATCACTCTTCCCCACTGTGACAGATCAATGACATGAAATATATTCCCATCAAAACACTACGGTTAGCAGGTCTCATCAGAGCTCTGCTGTTCATGGGGTAAAGTGGGGTTTGTAATGGTGTAAATGAAGTCGACGCCCCGATGAAGCTCATTAAGAGTGTTTGTGTAAGCATGAGTGCCATCCGTCTTCATCACAGACACAGACTGACGCTCTCATTGTGTGACAGACGTTTACTTTAACCCTCAATTAAGCTTCATTATTGAACATAATTGAAGGACATTCATAGAGTTAACAGTATTTCATGCCTCACTGAGATCTGAATGGGTTAATTTCTAACTAGTGTCAGCCCTCAGGCCGTTCACTGACACTATGAAGTATTTTGTACACAAAAATGGCAAGCGATGGCTAAAATCGTCAGTCACAATCTGAATGGCTGACATATAATGTCTGATTTTTTTTTTTTTTATCAGTCTGCCTGGAAACAAAGCTGTGTTTACAGGGTGCCATGCACTTATGAAAATGAAATAATGACTTTGATTTGTCAGCATTGGTGAGGTTAGTGGCGTCAAATCTCTGAAAGATATTTAGAGTTTTGTTTTGAAGTGCTTAGTTTATTTAACAAAATTTCCATAAATTTCCATGAGCATATACTGTAAAAAAAAAAAAAAATTTGAGATGTAAATAAAACAAAGATTATCTGAGTAAGTTTTACAAGAAAATAGTATTTCAGTCCTTCTACTTTTCAACTAAATTTCATGTTTAATTCAATGCGTTATTTGCCATTTCTCTTATTATTTGTTAACTTTACTAGCCATTTCTAAGTGAAAATTGCTTCAAGGTAATTCTGCTTTGTTTTTGATTTATGTCTGATTTAGTTTATGTTTGATTTAGTTGAGCCACTTTTAGTAAAACAAAAATTCAGATGACAAACATATAATCATTTCTGTTCTATATTTGTCATATTAATATTTTTTTATTAATATAGTTTATTATTGTTTATTATTATGCTTTTGTGGTCCAGGGTCACAAATATTGTAGTTTCTGCTCACCACTATATATACACACCAGTATAAGTTTACCCAACTATGACGACTCTAGCTTCTGAGAACACTGGAAATGTGAAAAGGGTCCACTGACTCCTATTTAACTGAATTAAATCAACACTGAACTGACTCGAGCTAATGTTTGATTTAGTTGAGCCAAATCTTTCAGCTATAGCACTGCTTTTGTTTCATAATTGATGAATTTTGCAACATTAACACTGCTATTTTTTCTGTATTGTATTGTGCTCTATATAAGTAAAAGTGACTTGGCTTGACTTAGCGAGACCTTCTTCGATCCCGTCTCAAATGCCGCCCTCTCAACCCTTGCTGTACTCCTCTGTGTCGACTTCAGTGACATAAGCAAGTGTAGACCAAGGGGGCAACAGTCAGAAAGTTATAAAAGCATACTACTTTCATACAGAATAACTGGATAGCTGAATTATTCTGCAGTGTGTTAGTCACACACACAGTCAATAGTGATCCATCAGCCCTGTGTGTAAAGTATTGCGGCCTGTAGCATGCTGGGATGCCTGCTGGAGGACACAGGCGGTTGTGATTGGTGAGGGTCGTCCTGCTCCACTGAACTTCAAAGAGTGTAAGGAATAAGAGCACATCACACACAGACACACCCAGCAGTGCCAGAGATGTGTGTGAACGGCACAGAGCTGCTAGAGGCATTAATACAGACCAGAGACACAAACATACATGATTTCCCACTGACCAGATCCACACACACTCTGCAGCCTTCTGGAACAATCAGAGGGACAGGACAGCAGTGATATATCATCATTAAAGGAAATGAACAAGATAGAAACCCTCAAACTGTTGATAGGAAAGAGGAGAGGCGAGGAGAGCGAGGAACGAGAGATGGAGTGGAGAGAGAGAGAGATTTGAAGGGTGGAGTAGAGAGGAAACAGAAGTGAGATTAAAGAAATCACATCTGCCATGTTTACAGCTCCACTCATAAACAACCTTCAAAGGGAATATTGGCCCAAGATCTGCTGCACGTTTTTGTTTGGATGCATCTGCTAAAGTAACTGACTAATATTTCATAAAGCATCATCTCAAATATTGCCTCATACCCAACACGTTTATTAATACACAGCGGTCGGATAAACCGCAAACACATCAGAGGAATGAGAGAGA